TACTAAGGTAGCAGAGCTTTTGTGTGGCTTTCTGCTTTCATTTCTTTCTTAGTATTACTTTTTTCCAGGCCTTTGAATGGCCACCCAGTGCCAATAGTACCTTGTCGGACACGGTCATAAATTCTAAAGGCATACTGCTGCTGCTGCTACTTTTGTTTTTGTTTTTGTTGTTGTGGTTGTTGTTTTTGTAGTTGTTGCTGTAGCTGTTCTCCCTTACCCTTCCAACCTCCTGTTCTTCTACTTTAAATGTAATTAATATACCCATTGCTGTGTTCTGCTTCTTCTACTTCTATTAAAGGTTCAACTTTGTGACTGCCTTTTTTGCCCGAATTGACTCCGTAGCACTGAAGAAATGGCAGCAGCTGATAGTATGTTGGTAGCAATAATATAGCCCTCCTCCTCTTCCTTCTTCTTCTTCTTACTCCTCCTCCTCCTTCTTTTTTCTCCTTATCCTCCTCCTTCTCAACCTCATCCTCCTCCTCCTCCTCCTCCTTCTCCTCCTCCTCCTCCTCCTCCTCCTCCTCCTCCTCCTCCTCCTCCTCCTCCTCCTCCTCCTCCTCCTCCTTCTTCTTCTTCTTCTTCTAATTCTTCTTCTTCTTCTTCTTCTTCTTCTTCTTCTTCTTCTTCTTCTTCTTCTTCTTCTTCTTCTTCTTCTTCTTCTTCTTCTTCTTCTTCTTCTTCTTCTTCTTCTTCTTCTTCTTCTTCTTCTACAAAAGATCTTGACGATTGAAGCAAGTGTTCAAATACGTTACCGTCAAGTGTGGCTTGGCTGCACTCAACCAAACTCAAGGCCAGCAGTGGCTTCCTGATAAAACCGGTCAACCCACAAAATTGAGGGTTGGTCGGTTTTATCAAGGAAAATTTGAGCGACATAACCGTCTAACCCACACAGTTTCATTAAAAGCAATTTTTAAAGGAAAAAAAGTTCTACAGATTTTCAGTAAAGTGTTTTTATAGGTGTTTAAAGCATTGATTTATCGTTAGACACGTTTGTTTTGAAATAAAACAGTTTTTTCCTTCTCCTGTAAAATTTACCTCGCTGGGGTTAGCCGGTTTTATCACAAGGCCGACGATGATTAAGTCAAATGTTACGAAAGTGTAGTAAATGAAAATGTTACATTTGTTGAAGATTGCAACAACAAAAACAACAAAAAATAACAACAAAAAATAACAACAAAAAATAAGTTTTTATCAACTTTTGACTTCTCTAGTCTAATAAGAGATAATCTGTTGACCCGTGCACTGGCCAAAACAGTGCTCACTTCCATAACATTATGACAAAGAAGAGGAGATCCTATAGATACAACACGAACACCCACGTACATCCTTACAGCAGAAAAGGAAACAATGGAATGGTTAGATGGTCAACTAAGAATTAAGTGGCAGGATAGAATAAGAAATGAAGAACCTATTGGAAAGGACAGGACAAAAGAATATAGAATCTAGAAGTAGAAATAGGACTAAGAAAGTGGCGATGGATGGGACACACCTTATAA